GTGGCGGGCACCTGTAGTCTCAGCTACTCGGGAGGCTGAGGCAAGAGAATCACCTAAGCCCAGGAGCTGGAGGTTATTGTGAGCTGTGATGTCACTGCACTCTACCAAGGGCAACAAAGTGAAACTCTGTCAAAAAACAAAAAAGAAGTCAGGAAAAAAAAAAAAGATTACAGACCAGTCGTACTGAATCCTAGCCCACCACACCTCCCCAGAACCTGTTCTGCCTGGAAAAACAAAGCTCATAATTGGTGCCTCCCTGGAAGTGGCAGTCTTGACAAAAGGCACCTTTGTTCTCAGAACACTAACTCAAGGAAACGTTGACCCAAGAGCAGGCAGGAAGTCTTTGTGTCTAGGTTGGCAGAGGTCACCTGTAGCCCAGAGAGAGAACTATTTCTGCTCACTTTTCCCCATCGTCTCCTTGGTCCTAATCCAAGTAGGACATACATTTAAGTCAAGTGAAGTGAAGTTTGGGGGGAGTCCCTTGAACACCTCCTGGCCAGCGGGAGGTACAGGAGCAAAATGATTTTACAAACACCTACTTAATCCTGACAACTGAGCTGCACAACCAGCTCAGCACAGACCAGGAAAGAAATGCGTGCCTAAGACCCTGGTGGCTCGTGTTGGGGACCAAGGACTGAAGGGGAAGCCCAGGAAGAGCCTGAGGCAGAGTGAGGGGGGTGGTAAAAGCTGAGGCAATCCCACAAGAGCTGAGATCTACACCAGGAAAGCCCATTTAGAGACGCCTTATCCAGGGAGATGCATAAATGATCTAGGACAGCAAACACCTAGATGAGCGCCCACGGGAAACTCTGGAAAGGCCATCTGGGCAAAGCTGAGCTCGTGAACCACCAGGTGGTCTCGGTGACTGAGGGATGGAGGCCCCGGGGGCGGGAGGCGGACTAGGAGACCTCACTTAGCCGCAGCGTCCCGTCCACGGTGGCCCTTCCGTCCAGTGTAATGAATGTCGTTGTTGCTTTGCTGCAGGATAAGAAGCCGGCCCTGGGTAACCACCTGGAGCCCGGAGCGCCCAGGGCCCAGCCGCTGCCCAAGGCCAGCCTGCCCCCGCCCCCTCCCGTGCGACGCTCTTCGGACCTGGGCTGCAGCCCCGCCCCGCCCCCCAAGG